TTATGATTTCCATTCTTTTGCATTTGCTGAAGAGTATTTTACTTTGAATTATGTGATTGATTTAAGAATAAGTGCTATGTGGTGCTGAGAAGAATGTATATTCTGTTGATTTAAGGCAGAGTGTTCTGTAGATGTCTATTAGGTCCACTTAGTCCAGAGCTAAGTTCAAGTCCTGAATATCCTTGTTAATTTTCTGTCTCATTGATCTATCTAACATTGACAGTGGTGTGTTAGTCTCCCACTATTTTTGTCTGGGAGTTGAAGTGTCTTTGTAGGTCTCTAAGAGCTTGCTTTATGAATCTGGCTGCTCCTGTTTTGAGTGCATATATATTTAGAATAGTTAGCTCTTCTTGTTGCATTGATCTTTTTACCATTATTTAATGCCCTTCTTTGTCTTTTTTGATCTTTGTTGGTTTAAAGTCTGTTTTATTAGAGACTAGGATTGCAACCCATGCTTTTATTTATTTATTTTTTTGCTTTCCATTTGCTTGGTAAATATTCCTGCATCACTTTATTTTGAGCCTACGTGTGTCTTTGCAAGTGAGATGGGTCTCCTGAATACAGGACACTGATGGGTCTTGACTCTTTATCCAGTTTGCCAGTCTGTGTCTTTTAATTGCAGCATTTAGCCCATTTACAATTAAGGTTACTACTGTTATGTGTGAATTTGATCCTGTCATCATGATGCTAGCTGGTTATTTTGCTCATTAGTCGATGCAGTTTCTTCATAGTGTCATTGATCTTTATACTTTGGTGTGTTTTTGCAGTGTCTGGTATTGGTTTTTCCTTTCCATATTTAGAGCTTCCTTCAGGAGCTCTGGTAAGGCAGGACTGGTGGTGACAAAATTTCTTGGCATTTGTTTGTCTGGGATGGATTTTATTTCTCTTTCTCTTATAAAGCTTAGTTTGGCTGGATGTGAAATTCTGGGCTGAAAATTTGTTTATTTATAAATATTGAATATTGGCCCCCACTCTCTTCTGGCTTGTAGGGTTTCTGCAGAAAGATCTGCTGTTATCTGATGGGCTTCCCTTTGTGGGTAACCTGACCTTTCTCTCTGGCTGCCTTTAATGTGTTTTTCTTCATTTCAGCCTTGGAGAATCTGACAATTATGTGTCTTGGGGTTGCTCTTCTAGTGGAGTATCTTAGTGGTATTCTCCACATTTCCTGAATTTGAATGTTTGCCTGTCTTGCTAGGTTGGGGAATTTCTCCTTGTTAATATCCTGGAGTGTGTTCCAACGTGGTTCCATTCTCCTTGTCACTTTCAGGTACACCAATCAATCATAGGTTTGGTCTTTTCACATAGTCCCATATTTATTGGAGGCTTTGTTCATTCCTTTTCACTCCTTTTTTTCTAATCTTGTCTTCATGCCTTATTTCAGTAAGTTGATCTTCAATCTCTGATATCCTTTCTTCTGCTTGATCAATTCAGCTATTGATAGTTGTGTATGCTTCACAAAGTTCTCTTGCTGTTTTTCAGCTCCATCAGGTCATCTATGTTCCTCTCTATACTGGTTATTCTAGTTACCATTTCCTGTAACCTTTTACCAAAGTTCTTAGCTTCCTTACACTGGATAGAACATGCTTGTTTAGCTCCAAGAAGTTTTTTATTACCCATCTTCTGAAGCCTACTTCTGTCAATTTGTGAGACTCATTCTCCGTTCAGTTTTGTGCTTTTGCTGGAGAGGAGTTGCAGTCATTTGAAGGAGAAGAGGCATTCTGGTTTTTGGAATTTTCAGCATTTTTGTGCGGGTTTTTTGTCATCTTTGTGGATTTATCTCCCTCTGACCTTTGAGGGTGATGATCTTTTGATGGGGTTTTTGTATGGTGTCCAAAAGGATATTGATGTTGTTGGTTTCCATTTGTTAGTTTTTTTTCTAAGAGGTGGGCCTCTCTGCTACAGGTCTGCTGTAGTTTGCTGCAGGTTCACTCCAGAACCTGTTTACCTGGGTATCAACGGTGGAGGCTCCAGAACAGCAAAGATTGCTGCCTGCTCCTTCCTCTGGAAACTTCATCCCAGAGGGGCACGGGCCTGATGCCAGCTGGAGCTCTTCTGTATGAGGTTTTTTTTACCCCTCTTGGTAGGTCTCTTCCAGTCAGGAGGCATGGGGGTCCAGGACCTACTTTAGAAGGCAGTCTGACCCTTAGTAGAGCTGTAGTGCTGTGCTGGGAAAATCCTCCTTGTCAGGATCAGCTGCTCTCTTCAGAACCAGCAGGCAGGATGGTTTAAGTCTGCTGAATCTGCACCTATAGACATCCCTTCCTCCAGGTGCTCTGTCCCAGGGAGATGCGAGTTTTATCTATAAGCCCCTGACTGGGGCTGCTGCCTTTCTTTCAGAGATGCCCTGCCCAGTGAGGAGGACTCTAGAGAGGCAGTCTGGCTATTGCCGCTTTGCCGCACTGTGTTGAGTTCTGCCTGGTCCGAACTTCCCCTCTTCTTCTTCTTCTTCTTCTTCTTTTTTTTTTTTTTTTTTGAGTTGGATTTGTGTTCTTGTTGCCCAGGCTGGAGTGCAATGGCATGATCTCAGCTCAGTGCAACTTCTGGCTCCCAGGTAGAAGAGATTCTGCTGCCTCAGTCTTCCTAGAGTAGCTGGTATTACAGGCATGCACCACCACTCCCAGCTAATTTTTTTTTTTGTATTTATAGTAGAGACAGGGTTACACATGTTGGTCAGGTGAGTCTTGAACTCCTGAGCTCAGGTGATTAACCCACCTCAGCCTCTTAAAGCACTGGGATTACAGGTATGAGCCACTGTGCCCAGTCAAAAGGAAACATTTTCAAAAATTTTCAAAACTGGAAATTCAAGTTAATATAAATAAATGATTAGTAATTATTTTACCGAAAGTGTTTTTTAGAGGAAGTTAATTTTGTTAAGTGATGAATAGATTTTACACCTTATGATGGGCAAAACAAATCTGACCATTTCAATTACCCTATAATTTCAGCTGGGCAAATCTCTTTTTCAATGGACTATTAATCAGAAATGGTGTTAGCATAGGTAGAATGGCTGCTGACATCCAATGTAAAGGTGACTAGTTCAGTTATTTGTGCAGCTGCTTTTTAAAACTTGGGTATGTTTTACGCTGCAATAAACTAGACAAATAGCTGTTATAATTATGCAAACTTTCCTATTTTCATGGAAAATGAGTTATATAATGAAGTCTGTATTTTCTAAATTATACTTTAAGAACTGTTATGACATCTACAGAAAAGAGTATATTTAGACCAAGTGTGGTAGTTTTGGTAACTCACACCTATAATCCTAGCACTTTGGGAGGCTGAGGTGGGAGAATTGCTTGAGCCCAGGAATTTGAGGCTGCAGTGAGCTATGATCATGCCACTATACTCCACCTTGGGTGAGTGACAGAGTGAGACCCCCTCTCTACAGAAAAAATACATATATATTTAGAAAGTTTCACATTTTAGGAGAGAAATCTTTAACTATTCTGATTTCCAGAGATTTTTTCAGATGTTGAATAGCTTTAAGTCAATTGAATTTAGAATTACTCTTTTGTTAACATGATATACACAAGAGCATCATATGGAATCAGGTATTTTTAGTGAGTCTTTGGGACTTAAGACCTGAAGAAATTACAATTAAGTATTAAATATCTCTCTGGGCTGGGTACAGTAGGTCATGCCTGTAATCCCAGCATTTTGGGAGGCCGAGGTGGGTGGATCACCTAAAGTCAGTAGTTCGAGACTAGCTTGGCCAACATGGTAAGTCCCCATCTCTACTAAAAATACAAAAATTAGGTAGGCATGGTGGTGCAGGCCTGTAATCCCAGGTACTCTGGAAGCTGAAGCAGGAGAATCATTGGAACCCAGGAGGTGGAGGCTGCAGTGAGCCAAGATCGTGCACCACTGCACTCCAGCTGGGGCAACAGCGAGACTCTGTCTCAAAAATAAATGAATAGGAACAAACAAACAAACCCATTTGAAAGAGGGCAAAGAAGAACAGACACTTTTCAAAAGAAGACATTTATGCGGCCAACAAACACATGAAAAAATGTTCATCATCATTAGTCATTAGAGAAATGCAAATCAAAACCACATTGAGATACCATCTCACGCCAGTTAGAATGGTGATGATTAAAAAATCTGGAGACAACAGATGCTGGAGAGGATGTGGAGAAAAGGGAACACTTTTACACTGTTGGGGGATTGTAAATTAGTTCAACCATTTTGGAAGACAGTGTGACGATTCCTCAAGGATCTAGAAATAGAAATTCCATTTGACCCAGCAATCCCATTACTGGGTATATACCCAAAGGATTATAAATCATTCGATCATAAAGATACATGCACACGTATGTTCATTGCAGTGCTGTTTACAATAGCAAAGACCTGGAACCAACCCAAATGCCCATCAATGATAGACTGGTGTGACACATCTACACCATGAAATACTATGCAGCCATAAAAAACGACGAGTTGTGTCCTTTGTAGAGACATGGATGAATCTAGAAACCATCATTCTCAGCAACTGACACAAGAACAGAAAACGAAACACTGCATGTTTTCACTCAAAGGCGGGTGATGAACAATGAGAGCACTTGGGCACAGGGAAGGGAACAACACTCACAGGGCTAGGTGAGGGGGTGGAGGGGAGGGAAGGGGAGGGATAGCGGGGGTGGGGGGAGGATGGGAAGGGATAACACCAGGAGAAATGCCTGATGCAGGAGATGCGGGGGATGGAGACACCAAACCAACATGTCATGTATGTACCTATGCAACAATCCTGCAGGTTGTACACATTTACCCCAGAGCCCGAAGTACAATTAAAATAAATAAATCTCTTACTGAAGCATTCAGTAAATGATTCTTATAATAAGTTTCAGGTCATTTTCTTTTGAAAATTCATTTTTTTAAAAGGTCTTTATAATTTTTATTTTTAGTAACAACAAAACTGGCTTCTTTTCAATCTTTTCTCTTTGTTGGTGTATATAAAAGGAGAATGAATGTTTTGTGTTTATGGTTGTTTAATTACTGTTTTGCAGTACATTATGTTGCCTGCAAGTTGCTGAGTATGTGTGAAACCTCATTTGCCTCAGAACAAGGTATTCAACGACTGATTATGGTAAGTTTTAATTTAGGAGAAAATGGGGATGCAATGAGATGGTTGTTACTCCTATGAAAATGGTTAAAGTTAGTGTGAAACTGTAAGGGGGTTGAATTTTTTAGTGCTATCCTTTTATGTTGGGTTTTTCTTTTATAATGGTATATTTACTACAGTTTAAGTTCTCAGAATACTGTGGTTATTACAGTGGTTTAGTGAACCAAATGCTGAATTTATAATTTTGGGTTGATGATTTATTTTTTACTTTTCTCACCTCTCACTTGATAGAGTAACTGTTTCTTCATCTAAGGGAATGGTATTCGTTCTAAATGAGTTTTTCTAATGAAAAATTTGAAGCCCTAAGTAAATAAGGAGAAGAGTACAGGATTTGAAGTTTGAAGACCTAGGTTAGGTCTGCTGCTTACTAGCTATGTGACCTTGGAAGAATACTTAGTTATCTCATTTGTAAACTGAAAATATTAATATCTACGTTAGAGTGTTACTGAGTTAAAATTAGAGTTTTTGTGAAAAATGCTTTGTAAACTATAAACACATAGTGGTGGAATTTGTTCATGTAAAATGCTATGACGGTAGTCTGATAAATCCTGTATTATATATAATATGATAAAACTGAGTTGAACACAGGGTTCACCTTGTGCGTTTTCCTTCTTGCAAAGATTGTAGCCACTCCAGTGCCTTCACACAGTTATATTTTGTCAGCTTTTAGGGTTGTTTAGAGTGGGATGGTCAGTTTGAATTGAGCAATTCCCTCATGACTGATAGTGGAAGTCTTCCTCTTATATTTCTATTATTTAAAAGATTAATCTTTTAAATTTTGAGACGGAGTCTTGCTCTGTAGCCCTGGCAGGAATGAAGTGGTGCCATCTGGGCTCACTGCAACCTCCGCCTTCCAGGTTCAAGCTTTTCTCCTGCCTCAACCTCCTGAGTAGCTGGGATTACAGGGGTGCGCCACCACACCCAGCTAAGTTTTCTATTTTTTGTAGAGCTAAGGTTTCACCATGTTGGCCAGACTGGTCTTGAACTCCTGACCTCAGGTGATCTGCCCACCTTGGCCTCCCAAAGTGCTGGGATTACAGGCCTGAGCCACTGCACCTGGCCTAACAGATTAATTTTTTAAAGTTTATTTCCCCCTTCTCCCAAATACAAATGTATGTTTATGTAAAATTAAATTATTCGGAAAAGTAATGAAAGTAATAAAACGTGGTTTTCTGCTCCATCCCTCTTTATATATTCTCTCTCTCTCTCTCTCCTCTCATCTCTCTCTCTCTTTTGAGACAGGGTCTCACTCTGTTGCTCAGGCTGGAGTGTAGTAGCATGATCTTGGCTCACCACAGCCTCCACCTACTGGGTTCAAGCAGTTCTCCTCCCTCAGCCTCCTGAGTAACTGGGATTACAGGCATGTGCTAACATGCCCAGCTAATTTTGTATTTTTTTGTTTGTTTTGGTAGAGACAGAGGTTTCACAATGTTGGCCAGGCTGGTCTCTAACTCCTGACCTCAAGTGATCCACCTGCCTCAGCCTCCCAAAGTGCTGGGATTACAGGCGTGAGCCACCACACGCAGCCCTATCTACTCTCTTGCTCTTTAGAGGAAAGTACATTTTTTTTAAGTGGGAAAATATTTTTCCCAGCATTTAAAAATATGTTATTATGTAAAAGCTCAAATACATATAAAACAGATAAGATGGTACAATAATTCTCCCCGTTTACCCATCACTCAGCTAGAGTAATCATCAACTTATGGCCACTCTTGTTTCTTCTGTAACTTCTTGAATAGCAAACCTCTGGTCCTACTGGATTATTATTATTATTTTTTATTTTTTTGAGGTGGAGTCTCGCTCTGTCACCTAGACTGGAGTGCAGTGGCACAATCTCGGCTCACTGCAACCCCTGCGTCCTGGGTTCAAGCGATTCTCCTGCCTCAGCCTCTTGAGTAGCGGGGATTACAAGCATGTGCCACCACACCCGGCTAATTTTTGTATTTCTAGTAGAGATGGGGTTTCACCACGTTGGCCAGGCTGGACACAAACTCCTGATCTCAGGTGATCCGCCCACCTTGGCTTCCCAAATTGATGGGACCACAGGCATGAGCCACCACACCTGGCCAACCCGCTGGATTATTTTGAAGCAAATTCAAAAGGTATAATTTTGCCCATAAGTATTTCAGCATGTGTTTCTAAAAGACAATGTAATTCTCTTCAGGTTGTAAATGCTTTATTTTTTAAAAAATAGTGGAAGCTTGGTGGTGTATATGTGGCCATTTGATATTTTTATGACTAAGAGAGTCCAGTCTCTTATAGAGTATAAATGTACCTCTACACATGCACATATATTTATTTATGTTCTATTTTTCCATAAATTATTGGGGTACAAATGATACTTGGTTACGTAAGTTCTTTACTGATGATTTGTGAGATTTTGGTGCACCCATCACCTGAGCAGTATACACAGCACTATATTTATAGTCTTTAATCTTTTGCCCCATACTCACTCTTCCCTCCAAATCTCCAAAGTCCATTGTTTCATTCTTATGTCTTTGTGTCCTCATAGCTTACCTCCCACATATCAGTGAGAACATACAATGTTTGGTTTTCCATTCCTCAGTTATTTCACTTAGAATAATAGTCTCCAGTCTCATCCCGGTCACTGCAAATACTGTTAATTCATTCCTTTATATGGCTGATATATATACCACAGTTTCTTTATCCACTCGTTGATTGATGGGCATTTGAGTTGGTTTTATGATTTTGGAATACACATGCACATGTAATTTTTATCAAAATTAAGCTTAGTCACTAAAAGAAGATTCTCTGTGTGAACTTGTTCTGCAGTTTTTTCACTTTTGCCATCAGGCACTGGAGCACCTGACCTCTCAAGAAGATCTGGATCTAGTCCTTCTGATATCATTTTGTTTCTTATTGCCATCACTGGTATACCACTTGAACCATTTTGAGATATATGACATATCTTGAATCTTTGTCTACAATTAAGATATTTTCTGCTGTTACTTGATTTTCCTGTGGTCCGGAGTCTTGTGTACTGTCCTGCTGTGATTACTCTGAGGTAACCTCAGAATGTGATCCATTTGTGACACTAGTGGGACTTAAAGGAGATACTTCAAATGTAACATCATCTAGGCCTGGTATAGATGACAACGTTGCATCTAAAACATTGAGAGCTGCTTCAATTTGTTGGATACAAAGATAAAGGTTTGCCAGTTTCTCTTCACTAAATGTAGAAGAGTGGTTGAGGAACTATCCGGTGTGCACAACAGTTTGCTTTAGAAAAGACACCATTCTTTTCTGGTGAATAGCTGGCACCTTGGTCAAGTCTATGCCTGACCCCCATGAGAGGAAGCCCATCTTTATACATCTCCTCAGCAGTCAGGGGCCCTGGACTTACTCACAAACCCCTCCCAGATGGGGCCTGCCCAACCTTGTAATTGTGTCCCAGTGCTTCCCCACGTCCCCCAAGACAGGGTATTTTTTATATTCAGCAAACACAGTTCCCTTTATCACACCTGATAAAACCTAATAAAGGTTTCCCCAAATCAAATAGCTAGTTCTTTCACCCCCTCTCCAATTGGTTTCTTAAAATCAGGACCAAAGATAATCCATACTTTGTTTTTTGTTAATATGTCTGTTTTAATTAAACTACATGTTTTCTTCTCTCTTTTAAGAAAAACTCTGTTGAACAGATTTATTTGTTGAAGAAATGAGGTTGTCCTATAGAGTTTTCTAAATTCTGGATTCTGATGCCTCCTCATGGTGTCACTTAATAGTCCATTGTTCCCTCTAACTCTTGTTTTCTGTAAACTGATAATTAGATCTAGAAGCTTGTTCTGATTCATGTTTGATTTTTGTCAGAATAATTTATAGGCAATATGTTTCTGAATCCTTGGATTCAACCTACCATGGATTGAAAATATTACCAAAAAATCTGATAAAGATAACAGTAACAATACAGTAAAAAAATAGAATAGCTAATTCTTTTTTATGTATTTATTCATTTTTGAGACAAGCTCTCACTCTGTTGCCTAAGCTGGAGTGCAGTGGCATGATCTCAGTTCACTGCAACCTCCGCCTTCCAGGCTCAAGCGATTCTTATGCCTCAGTCTTCTGAGTAGCTGGAACTACAGGCATGCACCACCATGCCCAACTGGTTTTTTGCATTTTTAGTAGAGACTGGGTTTTGCCATTCTGCCCAGGCTGGTCTCGAACTCCTGAGCTCAGGCTATCTGCCCGCTTCAGCTTCCCAAAGTGCTAGGGTTATAGGCATGAGCCACCACATCTGGCCAATAACTAATTCTTGATTTATCAGCTTTATTTATGATCTATTTATTTGCTATTATGATGGATGAGGATTTATCTCATATCATGTTACCTCTCCCATCTCTCTCAGTTTTTGTTATACTATTTTAAATTTATCTGTTGGCTGTCTTTCAAATCTTTAAATTATATATATTTATATATACACACATATATAATTTTTTGTATATATGTATATACTTAAAAAGTATACTTTTTTTTGAAATAGGATCTCACTCTGTCGCCCAGGCTGGAGTGTAATGGCATGATCTCGGCTCTCTGCAACCTTGGCACCCCAGGCTCAAACAATCCTCCCACCTCAGCTTCCAAAGTAGCGGGGACCACAGGTGCACACCAGCATGCCCAGCTAATTTTTTGTATTTTTGGTAGAGATGGGGTTCTCACCATGTTGCCCAGGCTGGTCTTGAACTCCTGAGCTTAAGCAATCCACCCACCTTGACCTCCCAAAGTGCTGGGATTACAGGCATGAGCCACAGCACCCAGCCTAAAATAATATATACATTTTTTTCTTTTTGAGACAGGGTCTTGTTTGTCGCGCAGGATGGAGTGCAGTGGCATGATCATGGCTCACTGCAGCCTTCACCTCCCAGGCTCAAGTGATCTTCCTGCCTCAGCCTCCATAGTAGCTGGGACCACAGGTGTGCGCTAGCATGCCCAAGTAATTTTTAAATTTTTTGTAGAGACAGGGTCTTGCTATGTTGCTCAGGCAGTCTAGAATTCCTGGCCTCAAGTCATCCTTTTACCTCAGCCTCTAAAAGTGCTAGGATTACAGGTATGAGCTACTCCACCATGCTCAGCCCTTAGTAATATATTTAAACTTTATTTCTTTTTTTTAAAATCAAATTTGGAATTTATCTCTTCATTTGCTACTTTGTGAGGATATTTCCATTCTCTCTACCTCTCTTTCCCTTTAACTTTCCACCTTCTGTCACCTCTAACATTTGCATTTTGGGCTTTGTTGATCCCAAATGATGAAAACTGAAAAGGCTTATTATTCATTGTCACTATTATTTAACTCTGTGGATTATAATTTTATTCTATGTATGTTTCCATTTGCTAGCTCTCTCAATTCTGTTTTCTCAGATATTCTGTTTGTTGAGTATGATGTCCTTTCATGGCATTTGTTTCTCTCAATTGTTGGGTAATTCTTGTTCATATTTGATTTGAAATTCTGTGATAATCTTCTATGAATATTGTGTCACACTTTGTATTATAACCTGAATCCAGTGACTGATGAAGAGGTAGGACTGGATGTTTTTCATTAATCTGTATTGTCAGCTACATAGAACTCTGTTTCTGTCCAGCCAAAGTAATTGTACTCACTGTTCCTTTCTGGGAAGGAGGGAGGAAGATACCTTTCTTGGGGAGGTCGACTGCCTGATGTTCCTACTGTTCGCATCCAGGGCCGTTTCCACATTTTGCATTTTTGTGCATGTTGGGATATGGGTTTCTGTTTTATCCCATTTGCTATCTGTTTATCAGAGGTTCTCCACAATTTCATGTCTGTTGAAAATGCCCCTTATTTTCCAGGATTCATTGAATAAGAATATGTACCATACACATTTTCTCATATTTCTATATATTATCATTTCTAAGGATTTATGGTAGAAGAGGGGGCTGTAGTGTGTATTCAGTCTTCCATCTTCATTTAGTACTTGTCTGCCTCCATAACTTTTGTGGAATTTGCATATTGACTATTTATTTAGATATCTACCAGTTACAATACTGTGAGCTCCTTCGGTGAGACTGGAATGTAAAGGTACTTAGTAAACATTTGTTGGATTAATCCAAATTTTATTGCAGATGGAATTAAAAACTAGAACTCAAGTAGTCTAATGCTTATCATATACCTTTCTTCAAGTGTGTGAAGCATTAAGTTCTCAGAACTTTCTCTTTCTATCTAAGTTATCTCAATGTTTTCTTTTAATATTTCCTCAGAAGGTGTGTCTCTTTTTTTGTTTGTTTGTTTTGAGAAGGAGTCTCACTCTGTGGTCCAGGCTGGAGTGCAGTGGCATCATCTCAGCTCACTGCAACCTCTGCCTCCCGAGTTCAAGCGATTTTCCTACCTCAGCCTCCTGAGTAGCTGGGATTACAGGTGCCCACCAGCACGCCCGGCTAATTTAGATATTTTTTGCAGAGATGCAGTTTCATTATGTTGGTCAGGCTGGTCTCAAACTCCTTACCTCAGGTGATCTGCCTGCCTTGGCCTCCCAAAGTGCTGGGATTACAGGTATGAGCCACTGCGCCCAGCAATTCATGTTTTTAAGTCTGTTAATTTTTGCTACCTTTTTTCTTCTTTTTTTTTTTTGTGAGTCTGATCTTATTTATTTGTTACTCAAAAAATCTTATTTCTGACTGGATTCAGACTTAGAAGTAGAAGCTCGCAGAGATGAAAGTGCATTTTTTCGCAATTTGTTCCTGGCGCTTCTCTTTAGCCTCCTTCATTCTCTTGGCCAAAAGTTTAGCATATTCTGCGGACTCTTCCTTGTTTTTCTTAGTACGCTACTTCTTCAGAGCACCGCCATTTGTGCTGCAGGACACGTGGAGTAACAAGACGCTGAATCTTGGGTGCTTTGGTCCTAGGTTTCTTACCTTCTTTGTTTAAGGGCTTTCTTACAACATACTGGTGGACATCATCTTCTTTAGAGAGATTGAAAAGTTTTGCAGATTCCGATAGCTCTTTTGGGCCCCAGGCGACGAGGCACGGTGGTATCAGTTAGTCCAGGAATATCCTTCTCTCCTATTTTTACAATAACCAAGTTGAGAATGCTCAGATTAGCATCCACAATGCAACCACGAACTGATTTTCTCTTTCTCCAGTTCTCCTTGGTCTGTAACAGGAATGCCCCTTACTCAGTAGCAGGTGGACACGGCCGCGGGTCAAGACACCCTGCTTCGTGGGGAAACCTTGTTTGTCGGTCCCACCAGTGATTTGGACCACATAACCCTTCCATTCTTCACCCAGAGCGTCAGCAGCAACTTCTGTCGCCATAAACTTCTCATAAAAAGTACGAAGTTTGCGTTCGTTGTCCACTTCAATGAGTTTCTGGCAGCCAGTGTCTGGGAGGGAGATGTTCAGCTTCGTCTTGTAACAGCTATATGCCTTCCAGGTGCCATGGAAAAGAGGCTACTTTTTTTCTTTGAAACCATTTCTTTTAAATTATGGAGTTCAAAGTAGAACACAGAGCTCTAACAAATGCTAACTGTTGCTTTTTATTTTCTGTGAGTTATATGACTGAATATGGACAGAGGATTCAATATTTTCTGTAGTATTCCCCTAACCAATTTGGGAGAGGTATTAATTTTTAAAAATTATTTTCTCATTTCTCTCTTCTAGATGAATTTGAAAATAGGAAAAGGGTGGTTGGATGTTGGAAATTTTCTAATTGCTGATGAATGTTTTCAAGCTGCTGAGGTGGTAAGTTACCATTGATTTTTAGCTGAGGCAATATCTGTGGTTATTCTCATTGTTACATTGTACTGTGGTTTTACTTTCCAGAATCTGGAGCAATTATACATGAAATTAATTCAGAGGAGCTCCCCTGAGACTGAGTTGACCGTGGAGAAGATGGCTGTTGAGAAAGACCACTTCAGAGTGCTTTCTTACCAAGCAGAGTCAGTAGGTATCATGGGCACCAGGGCCTTCCAGTGGCGGTTTTCCATATGTAAATGTAAAAGTGATGATATATAGCCTGTTGGAAGAAAGTCGGATGTCACTGGCCTTTTATAGGCATTAATTTGATCTTTTTATCTCTGTCATATCTGAAGATGATGTTAGTAATGCTGATTGGAATCTGTGGGGTGGCTAAGGGTGAGAAGACTGATATACAGCTAAACATCATTTTCAACCCCTGCATGTAACATCTGTTATTTATTTATGGCAGCAATCTCTACGTAAAACACCTGTCTCTGTGACTCTCTCTTACATTCACAGTCTGCCTAAAACATTTACCTGAAAAGAGCCTTTTTATTTGCAGTTGTTCTGAGCTGTCTATTGACGCTTTCCAAAGTCTGCTGCGATCACACACCATTTAAAGTTATACTTTACCTCTGTTTATCTTGTGGGTTTCCTCCTTTTGTCATTATACACTTAGGTGTGCATTTGAGCTATGATGAGCTTGCTTTCTGTTATTATACAATTCTGGAAATGAAAAATCCCCAGCTGGGCATGGTGGCTCATGCATGTAATCCCAGTACTTTGGGAGGCTGAAGTGGAAAGATTGCTTGAGCCCAGGAATTGGAAACCAACCTGGACAGCATAGTGAGACCCCATCTCTACCAAAAACTAAAAGGAAAAAATAAGCCAGGCTTCAAGGTGTGCACCTGTAGTCCTGGCTACTAGGGAGGCTGACGAGGAAGGATCCCTTTGAGCCCGGGAGTCTGAGGTTACAGTGAGCTATGATTGTGCCTCTGCACTCCAGCCTGGGTGACAGAGCTAGACTCTGTCTCAAAAAACAAACAAAACGACAACAAAAAACAAAAGTCCTTTTTAAAATTTTTTAACATATTTATTGAGATATAAGTCATATACCAAAAAATTCACCCATTTACACTGTATAATTCAGTAATTTAGTATATTCACAGAATTGTGCAATATGCACCACAAGCTATGTTTAAAACATAATTGTCACCCCAAAAAGAAACCCCCACCAATATTAGCAGTCCTCATTGCTTCTGACCCTAGCTCTAGCAACCATAATTTATTTTCTGTCTCTATAAACATACCTATTTTGGACATTTCATATTAATAGAATCATGCAATAAGTGGTCTTTTGTGATGAGCTTCTTTCACTTAGCATAATTGCTTTAAAGGTTCATCAGTGTTATTGCATGTTTCATTGTATGAATATGCCATGTTTTGTTTATCTATTCATTTATTGATGAATATTTGAGTTATTTCCAATTATCGGGTATTGTGAATAATTCTAATGTGAACATTCATATACAGTGTGTGTACATATATTTTTAATTTTCTTTGGTATATAGCTAGGGGTGGAATTGCTGTGTAGCATGGTAATTGTAATTCTGTGTTTAACCTTTTGGGAAACTGCCAGAATGTTTTCCATAGTGACTGAACTATTTTACACTCCCCCCAGTAATATATGAGGGCTTCTGAAAGTTTTATAGTTTTATACTCTACATCTGAAAGTTTTATAGTTTTAGCACTTACACTTAGATCTATGGTTCATTTTAAGTAAATTTTCAGGTATCATGGGAAGTAGGGGTCTAACTTGATTCTTTTGTATGTGACTATCCAATTGTCCCAGTACCATTTGTTTAGAAAATGATTCTTTCCTCATACTGAATGACCTTTACATTTTTGTCAAAAATCAATTTATCGTAAGTGTGAGGGTTTATTTCTGGAGTCTTAATTCTAATCCATTAATCTATATGTCTAGCCTTATGCTGGTACCATGCTGTCTTGATTACTGTAGCTAAGTAGTAAGTTTTGAAATTAGGAATTGCATGTCCTCCAGCTTTGTTCTTTTTAAAGATTGCTTGGATGTTTCTGGGTCCTTACATTTCCATATGAATGTTAGGATCAGGTTGTTAATTTGTGCACAGAAGCCAGCTGGAATTTTGAATAGGGATAGCATTGAATTCGTAGAACAATTTGGGGGATATTGTTATCGTAAGAATATTGTGTTTAATCCATGAACATGGGATTTCTTTTCATTTCTTTAGGTTTTGTTTAATTTTCTCTTATTTATTTATCATTTTTTTTGTAGAGACAAGATTTTGCTTTGTTGCTTAGGCTGGTATCAAACTCCTGGCCTCAAGCATTCCTCTCACCTTGGCCTCTCAAAGTTCTGGGATTACAGGTGTGAGTCACCATGCCTGGCCAGACGTATGTGTGGTATTTTTGTTGCTGTTGTTTTAGAGACAGGTCTTGTTCTGTTGCCCAGGCTGGAGTAATATGGCCCAATCATAGTTCACTGCAGCCTTAACCTCCTGGGCTCAAGGGATCCTCATTCCTCAGCTTCCTGAGTAGGTAGGACTATGGGCGCATACCACTGTGCCTGGCTAATTAAAAAATTTTTTATTTTGTAGAGATAGGGTTTTACTATGTTGTCTAGTCTGACCTTAAACTCCTGAGCTCCAGTGATCCTCCCACCTTGGCTTCCCAAAGTGCTGGAATTACAGGCATGAGCCACTGCGACTGAGCAGACCTATGTATTTTAATTGTCCACAAGCTCAAACTTTAATCAGTGATGTGATGTAGCTGCAAAAAAAGCTAGCACAATCCTAGGCATGTTAATAGATAATAGTGTCTACATCTTAATTCACATTTTGAGTATTGTGATAACTGCTAGGTATCACACTTTAAAATCACTGGGTTAGTGTAGAAATTATATCATATGAAAAATATTTGTAGAATATAGTGATGCCTGTCTTGGAAAAAGAAGACAGTAAAAATGATAGCTCTCTTTGAATATTTTAAGGACTATGGTATTAAAGGGAAATTAAACTCCACAGGATAGAATGAAGAACAATGGGTAGAAATCATAGGAAGACAGATTTTGGCTTAATGTAAGGAGTAACCTTTTATCAGTGATATAATCTTATAATGGAATAGCCTTCCTGCAAGATTGTAAGTCTGTTTTCACTGGAAGACTGAAGCAAAGGTGTGAATATCCTAATATTTATACATTGCAGATGGAATTCCTTCATTTGGTAGGAAATTTGACTACTATGACCCTTATGTCCCTTTTTCAACACCAAGATCCTATGATTTCAGAAAGTCTTGTAGCACTTCTTCAGTGTTGTGGATGTTGATATCTAAATGGTATATTTTATAGCTGGTTAAAAGTGTTAGTAGTTATGAGAACCATATAATTCTTCACTTTGATAAGTGATGACATCTTCAGAAGTTGAAGTGAAGGCTAATTCTTTTTGCTGTAAGTTGATTTTCCATTTCTAAGGTATTCTCTCCATTAGTGTTTATGCGTTTTGTTGATATTTGCTTGGGAGGAGACATTTAAAATAGCAGTTAATATCAGTGTTTGTTAATGAGTTTTCTGTCTTAATAAATCTCCTGAGGTATTTCTTAGATATCTATATAGGCCTTCTCTTTCTCTAGGCACTTACCATTTAACCAGTTAGATAATTGCTTTATTTATTATTTATTAAATTATTCAACAGACAAGGAATGTCTTCTATGAACAGATTGCTATGGTAGGTTTTGTGGAGTAATGCAAATAATCACATACCCTATCCTCAAGGATTATAGTTTAGTTGGCAAGATAAAGTATCACTATACAAGGTAGAAAAAATTGGGTACTGTAATAGTTGTACATATAAGTGATCTACATGCAGTGTTCAGTGCTACGTGTGAGTGGAGATGTAATATGTGGTCATTTTCCTTAAGAAAATTATAAGCTAGCTTGAGAGATAGGCCATGAATACATTTTCTAAAACTGGAAAAAGGAAAATATTAAGTGCCAAATGAATGACTTAGGTTAGGTGCGACACAGACTTTGTCTAAAGTGGTCACATGACCTTCCTAACAATCGTTAACATTTTACTTTTCCTCAACCCCTATGTCCACCTGCAAGGTGAGGGATAATTTTCTGTATGTGCTTGTGCCACAGATTATCCTTCTGTAATCTTTTAGAATTGTAAAAATAACTATAGATCTTGGTGTTTCTCCTAGTTCCCCATTTCCCTTGATTACTGGTAATGACTCTTTCTGCGCTGTGCATCATCTGCAGATGCAAGAGTAATATGTTTTGCTTCTGCTCCCTCCCCTATTTAAAATGAGACCACTGTAGAAGCTGACAGAGTCACACCTTGGAAGGGGCTATGAGCTTACCTATAAAGATTATGATGGAGGCTATCCTGGAGATGCCCTGCCCTGCCAACTTTCCTTTCCCTTTCCCTTTCAACGTTCATTTCCTTTCCTTAACTTCCCTCCCCTCCCCTTTTCTTTCCTCCCCTCTCTCTTCTCTTCTTTCCTTTTTATTTTCCTTTCCTTTCCTGCCACTACAACCTGGGCAACAGAGTGAGATTCTGTCCAAAAAAAAAAAAAAAAAAAAAAAAAAAAGGAAAGGAAAGACAGCACAGCCTGAATTAACTATTTTTAACTTCAAGAATGACTGGCACATGAACTTGGCTATTTAGCAGATGTTTTCATAAAAATGAATGAAATGGGCCAGGCGCGGTGGCTCACACCTGTAATCCCAGCACTTCGGGAGGTTGAGGTGGCAGATCACCTGAGCTCAGGAGTTTGAGACCAGCCTGGCCAACATGGTAAAACCCCATCTCTACTAAAAATACAAAAATTAGCCAGGCTTGGTAGCAGCCGCCTGTAATCCCAGCTACTCGGGAGGCCGAGGCAGGAGAATCACCTGAATCCAGGAGACAGAGGTTGCAGTGAGCCGAGATGATGGATGCCACTGCACTCCAGCCTGGGTGACAGAGTGAGACTCCCTCTCAAAAATAAGAAAATAAAAATAAACCAAGTGAATAGTACTCCATTGTGTATATGTACCACATTTTGCATTCTTTATTCATTTTTCTGTTGATGGACACTTAGGTTAGCATATAACTTCTAGGAAAACAATTGACAGTATGTTTTGAGGTAAAGTTTGAGCTTTTAGGTAAAAACTGAAAGTTTAG